TAAAAAAAAAAAAAAAACACCACCACCACCATGTGTTTATTGTTTGTGCTTTTTGAAAAAAGACTTTTCATTGATATAGCGAAAATAATATAAATAGGGAAAATGTGTAACTCACCTCAGCGTACAAAAAACCACTAAAATCAGTGTTTATTACAAAGGAGTGAGTTTACAAGACAAAATTGATAGACAATACCAAGGGAAAAAGATTACGATCAAGTACAAGAAAAAGTATATTCGAGTAATGTATCTTTGTATAACTATTATCTGATTACCAAGTAGAAATGCTTAGCGAAGTTGATTATGCTGATTACCAAGTAAATAAGAAAAGATATCAATGATATTTACCAAATAAAGAACAAAATCAGCATAATCAATGATAGTGGTTGAAATGGCAAGTACTTTGTATAGCTATTATCTGCAGTTTGAGTATAAGAATATTTGAGATTCTTGCATGACCAGTTCTATCCCTTTTTAGGGAAATACAAGAAGCACTAGTGGAGATTGGTGACAAGGATGATTCATTTATTGGGTCACGCGAATGGATCGGTGCTATCGAATTGAGCTTTGTTTTAGACAAATTGCTCGGTGTAAGTTCTTATTTTATTTTGGTCACGAAACATTCTCCTGCATAATGTCTATATCATTACTTTTGTGAAAGCAGAAATTTTAGTAGTAGCAAAAAGATAATAGATCATCTTGCACAACAACTGTTTAAAGTAAAAAAGATTGTGGTGTTTATAGGTGAGTTGCAAAATCATAAATGTCAGATCCGGGGCTGAACTTCCCGAAAAATGTAGAGAATTAGCTGCACACTTCGAGAATCAAGGAACTCCAATTATGATTGGTGAGTTCTTATCTTTGTAATTGATTAGGTAAAACTGGAATCCTACCTTAAAATTCTCTTCATGATCTTTTCTATTGGGTACTACATGAATGCAGGAGGCGGTGTTCTTGCATACACGCTCTTGGGAGTTGATTACAACGAAGCAAGTGGAGATTGTGGGTTCTTAATCCTTGATCCTCATTACACGGGGAGTGATGAAGTCAAGAAAATTGTGAGTGGGGGTTGGTGTGGATGGAAGAAAGCCGTTGATAGCAAAGGGAAGAACTTCTTCTTACACGATAAGTTCTATAATCTTCTTCTGCCTCAGAGGCCAAACATGGTTTAGTTCATCTGTTGTATTCAGTACAATTATGCTTTCCATTTCCTAGGGATCTCAGGATATATTGACATCAAACTACATGATACCAAAAGAAAAAAAAAAAAAAAGGTTGTAATTTAATGTTTTGCAAGGATTTTAATTTTTTTATTTTAATAAAATCTACCGTGAGATTCTACGTCGATTAGAGAGAAGAACTGTCAGCATAGACATTGGACCCGAAGGATGGTGTATTGTGAGATTCCTCATTGATTGGAAAGGAGAATGAGTGCCAACGAAAATGTTGGATCTCGAAGAGTGGAAATATCTTCCTATCAGTTTTAAAAATCTTGAGGAGGAGAAACTCTAAAAGGAAAATATTGTTTTCTTCAAAAAAATTTATAAATTTTATCAGTTATGAGAAATACAAAATGATGGGATGTAGGAAAAAATGAAATTGAAATATAGAATTACATATAAAGCAAAATTTATATAATTTACATAATTTTTATAGTTTTTATTTGATTAAATGAACTACTTTTTATAAGTTTTTTTATTATTTTTTGACAATGACTAAATTAAAAATGAAATTACTTATATTAATGTGATTTAAAATATAACTATAATAACTGTAATTAAAAATATAATTTAAAAGAGAATAAACAAAATATATATTTTTTAAAAAACAAAATTGTGTGAAATTATAAAAACAGTAATTCTTGAAAATGGTAGAGAGGGTCATGAACCGAAGTTGAAGCATCATCGGCCCACTGGCTTGGGCTTGGCTACATATGGAATAGATAGCGCGATGAGGCGGCAAGTTCCCGCCCTATAAGCTCATCACCGAGCTGCAACCTATCCGAAGAACAAGCTCCCATGGCTCTTGTACACCAACACCACCTCCCACAGTCATTTCAGTCCATTCGCAAGGCCAATCTCAACCAATCCACTTCTAATTCTTGTTTATTTTTTCAATTCAGTACTCGGAAGCTTGCCTGCTGCTTATGTGCGACATCTCCCAATCCCACCAGCCAGTCTCCATCTCCGATTTTCCTCCGTTTTCTCGAAGAAGAAGAAGAGGAGGAAGAAGAAGAAGAAGAAGAAGAAGAACCTAAAGACGTTCTTGGAGGAAACACGACGGAAGATTGGAACGATCCGTTAGTCAGATTTTTCAAATCCCGGAATTCAACAACGCAAGACCCATTACCCGAAAGCAAATTATCCCTTCAGAAGAACCGCCGTTCGTCGTGGCATCTTGCCTCCGAGGTTGAATGTTCCGTTGAAGCTGAAATTGCACCCGATGATGACAAGAAACAGTCCGGTTCGGTGAGTAGGAATTCTAGGGTATTACCGGATGGTGTCGTCGGAGACATTGTGCGAACTGCGAGGAATTTGCCTCAAAATACCACTCTAGGAGAGGCTTTGGGTGATTTTGAAGGAAAAATTGATGAGAAAGAATGTCTGGAGGTGCTGCGCTTGTTGGGTGAGGAGAATCTTGTGGTATGTTGCCTGTATTTCTTTGAATGGATGGGGTTGCAGGAGCCTTCGCTTGTTACACCTCGTGCTTATTCTATTCTCTTTCCATTGTTGGGAAGAGCTGGAATGGGAGATAAAATTATGGTGTTGTTCAAGAACATTCCACTCAAGAAGGAGCTTCAGGATGTTCATGTGTATAATTCTGCAATGTCTGGGCTTATGGTCTGTAAGAGGTATGGACATTGTCCTCTTTGTTTTATGGTTATTATTTTTCTTGCTGTTTAGTTTAGTTCTTTGTCATTTATCTTCCTTTGTGAAGGAGCTATTGAAGAAAACATTATTGAATTGAGAGCTGTTGAATGACTAATGTTCTCACCATTTTTGAGTGATACAGTTTTCAAAAAATGCCTTGAATTTTGAAAACATTCCTAAAAGATGGGAAAAAATGAAATTCATAGGTGGAAGCAATGTTTGTAAGTTTAATTTTTGGAACCAAAAGTAAAAAAATCAAATGGTTATGAGAAGGGGCGTAAGTTTGTAAGTTTCTGATGGTTTGCTTGTTAGGGATCACAACATTGTATTATGTTTTTCTGTAACGGTGTCAAGGCTATACTTGTGAGATCTTGCATCAGTTGATGAGAAGAACGAAACATTTCTTATAAGGGTGTGGAAACCTCTACCTAACAAACCCGTTTTAAAATTGTGAGACTGACGGCGATACGTAATAGGCCAAAACAGACAATATCTACTAGTGGAGGACTTGAGCTGTTACAAATGGTATTAGAGCCAGACACCGAATAGTGTGCCAGCAAGGATGCTGTGCCTCCAAGAGGGGTGGATTGTGAGATCCCACATCGGTTGGAGAAAGAACGAAACATTCCTTATAAGGGTGTGGAAATCTCTCCCCAACAGATGCATCATAAAACCGTGAGGTTGACGACGATACGTAATGGGCCAAAGCATACAATATCTGCTAGCGGAGAGGTTTGGGCTTTTAAAACACTGCTCGTATAATACCCCCCCCCCCCCTTTAACCTTCGGTGGCTTCACCCACCCATTGACAGCTTCTGGAGGCAATATGAAGTTTTAGCATGTCATAGCATGTTTTAATGCCTACTTCTTTGCTATTCTATTGGAATTGAGTATATGGGAACAGTAAACTTCAAATTGGTTAGAGTCGTAGTGTTTTGAGGGAAAATTAGCACTGTTTCTTTATGTCTTTCAAAGTGGTTGTAGAAGCTTCACTTAGATTATCCTTTAATGCTCATATTATGATTTTCAGGTATAATGATGCTTGCGAGGTGTACGAGGCCATGGAAACAAACAAGGTTAATCCCGATCATGTGACATGTTCTATAATGATTACAGTCATGAGAAAGATCGGTCGCAGCGCAAAGGATTCTTGGGATTACTTCGAGAAAATGAACGAAAAAGGAGTAAAATGGAGTCCAGAAGTTTTGGGTGCTCTGATTAAAGCGTTCTGTGACGAGGGGCTGAAGAGTCAAGCACTCATCATCCAACTGGAGATGGAGAAGAAAGGGGTTGCTTCGAATGCAATCGTGTATAACACGATCATGGATGCATTTAGTAAATCAAACCAAATCGAGGAAGCTGAAGGTCTCTTTGCCGAAATGAAAGCCAAAGGAGTGAAACCAACAAGTGCAACTTTTAACATCTTAATGGATGCATACAGCAGGCGGATGCAACCCGAGATTGTCGAGAAGCTTCTGATTGAAATGAAGGAGATGGGATTCGAGCCGAATGTGAAGTCATACACTTGCTTGATTAGTGCTTACGGGAGGAAGAAGACAATGAGCGACATGGCTGCAGATGCATTCTTGAGGATGAAAAAGAATGGTATAAAGCCAAATTCTCATTCATATACAGCTCTGATTCATGCTTATTCTGTTAGTGGTTGGCACGAGAAAGCTTACTCGACGTTCGAGAACATGCTGCGAGAAGGTTTAAAGCCTTCCATTGAAACTTACACAACGCTACTCGACGCGTTTAGACGTGCAGGTGATACCGAGGCATTGATGAAAATCTGGAAGTTCATGGTTAGAGAAAAAGTAGCAGGCACAAGAGTAACATTCAACATACTGCTAGATGGGTTTGCAAAACAAGGTCATTATATTGAAGCAAGAGATGTGATATCTGAGTTCAGCAAGATTGGGCTGCAGCCAACCGTTATGACATACAACATGCTGATGAACGCATATGCAAGGGGCGGTCAACATCTAAAGATGCCGCAGCTTCTGCAAGAGATGGCTGCTTGGGAGCTAAAACCCGACTCCGTTACTTACTCAACCATGATTTATGCGTTCGTACGTGTTCGGGATTTCAAACGAGCGTTCTTCTATCACAAGAAGATGGTAAAAAGTGGGCAAGTGCCTGATGTGAAGTCGTATCAGAAACTTCGATCAATTTTGGATGAGAAACTCGATACGAAGAACAGGAAGGATAAGAGTGCCATTTTGGGTATAATGAACAGCAAATTGGGTATGGTGAAAGCTAAGAAGAAGGGCAAGAAGGATGAGTTTTGGAAGAACAAGAGAAAGTATGTGAAAACAATGAGAGTTTCTCCTAATGAACAAATATGAATTGACTCACTCATTTGGGCTTTTCTTGCTTGGATGGCCCATTTATATTCCATCATGATATGGGCTTAGGAGGCCCAGATTTTGATCAGCTTCATATGGGCCTAGAGCAAAACACTGGCCCAATAGAGAAACAGAGGATAAAGTCGAATATTGTACATTAATGAAAAAGGGTGTAAATTTCAACTGAACAATGATCCTTAAATTATGACCATATTTCTTTTCTTCCAAATATCTTATTTTCTTCAAGAATTAAATTTTTTTTAGTGGATTTATTCATATTTTATTTGAATTATGTTACTAAAAAATTAAAATTTTTAAAACATCATGGACATATTTTGTTTAATATTATGTATTTAAATTATAATTTTGATTAATTTCTGACTAGGTAGATTAATTGATTATATTAATAAAATTTTAGACGTTTTAATAATTTCTTGATTTTTATTTTGTATTAAAAATTGGCTAACCAATAAAATGCTTTATATGTATTTTGTTTTATCACTAACTAAATTTACCCTAAAAATATATATATTTTCATCCCAACTAAAATAATATTTAATATTCGGAAATTAAAAAAAAAATAAATTAAAAGAGATTTTTTATGGGAGTTTAAAAAAGCTTAGCCATATAGAGAAATTGGATGAAAAAAGAAAAAGAATTATAAAAAAGGAGTCTGGACCGGTTAGCGCACATAACTGTACAACCGGTAATTGGGTAAAGCAAAGCTGCCACGTGGACACCTCACCCAAGGATAAACCCAAAATTCCTTCCTTGATGACGTGTACGTTTAACTGAAAACTTCGTATAAATACCCCTTTCGCCCCACTTTGGTATTTGCCCTCATTCGTTTTTTTTTTTCCTTTTCCGGTTTTTTTTGTTCGCTCTCTTTCTCAGACTCTCAACCGGCAAGAACAAGCAGACGTATTCGGATCGGGGTCCGATAATCCGGCGTCTTTCTGATCTAGGGTTTTCCCTTTCCTTTCACATTCCAATTTGTTCTTGTTATCCACTCTCCGTTGCTGTGATTTGGAGTTCCGATTCGTGTCTCCTGTCTTGGCTCGAGATCCGGGCCAAGCACAGAAGAATACCACTCCTACAAGTGTTTTCTTTCGGTTCATTGCGTCTCCCAGTGCTCGCCGATAGGTTCTCTCTCTCTCTCTCTCTCTCTCTCTCACGCGTGTGCGCTTTTGTGTGTTTGATGTTGACTGTTTTTTTATTTTTTATTTATTTGTTTGGGAGGAACTGGAAGAATGGAGGATGGAGTGGTTGGTTTTTTCTTTTTCCCTTAGTTGGAACTTGGTAATTATGAATCTTGTGGGAGTGAAGTGGCGGTTGCTTCATAGGTTTAGTTTATGTAAGTTGTCCAAGGTTTAATTTCAATCTATTGTGTGTGAATCCATAATTGTGTGTGTGGACGCGGTCTTGGGGGCGCATATTTCTGTTTCTTGGGAATCTTCCCCCCCCCCCCCCCCCCCCCCCCCCCCCCCCCCCCCCCCCCCCCCCCCCCCCCCCCCCCCCCCCCCCCCCCCCCCCCCCCCCCCCCCCCCCCCCCCCCCCCCCCCCCCCCCCCCCCCCCCCCCCCCCCCCCCCCCCCCCCCCCCC